TTTTACCCTAGAAAATAAACTACCATAGGGCGGGCTGGATTAGGCCCCCGAAATGGACTTTGGACATGCCTGTTTTAATTAAAAAAAAGTTTGGCTTGTAAACAGTTAACTAAATAAGAGGGTGAGGAAGCTGGTAGTTTACCTCTAAAATATCTCTGAGGTAGGGATTAACTGCTAAGAGTATATATACTGCACATATCACATTACCACTTCCTCTGTTTATGTTTGAAGCATGTTATATGCAAAAAAAACCAACCACTGGGGGGGGGGGGCTGAGATTTATTTCACAGTCCTGACATAGAAGAAAAAAGGCAGACAACTACAACCAGAGGAAAAATCTAATTTGAATCCTATACACCTTAAAGGTAAAGGTACCCCTGACAATTAGGTTCAGTCGCGGACGACTCTGGGGTTGCGCGCTCATCTCGCTTTACTGGCTGAGGGAGCCAGGGTTTGTCTGCAGACAGCTTCTGGGTCATGTGGCCAGCATGACTAAGCCGCTTCTGGCAAACCAGAGGAGCACACGGAAAAGCCATTTACCTTCCCACCGGAGCGGTACCTATTTATCTATTTGCACTTTGACTTGCTTTCGAACTGCTAGGTGAGCAGGAGCAGGGACCAAGCAACAGAAGCTCACCCCGTCGCGGGGATTCGAACCGCTGGCCTTCTGATTGGCAAGTCCTAGGCTCTGTGGTGCCACCTGCGTCCCATACACCTTACACTTACAAAATTAGATTAGAAGAATAATGTGGCACGAAGTGAAATGGTGTATTGCTGCACATATTCTTAACTAAGCTTTTGTGTGGTGCCTGCAAATTATAACTATTGACTGATGATTATGCAATAGTTCTACTGATGAAGCTCTATTGCAGTGTTCTAATTCATTTGTTAGCTTTGTTGCCCAATTTCATCTCTGACTTTTGCTGTTGTAAGCAGCCTTACCTGGTTCAATGTCAGAGCGTATGATTTTAAATAAAATAAACAAGATTATGTTGTGCCAGTTTCTGAACATTAGAAATAATATGTTAAGCTGTTTTGTTTTTTAAAAGCTATTTTAAAAAAAACCCTATGAAAATATGAAAGGTTGACTTCCTTACAAAACTTACAATACAAGTAACATTCTTCATTAAAACTGTGTGAAAATACTGAACAGCTTGAATTTTGGATACAATACTACTAGACTATGTACATTATGGGCACATAGAATCTTGTTTTGTGGGAATTAGCTCCAAGGGAACATACTGTTTTACTTACAGCCTCTATACCAGCTCTAAATCTCCTGTAAATCAGAACCAGTGAGGGCAGTGAAGGTCCTGTGTGAGTATCTAGAGGCGGTTAGAGGATGAATGGCAGCTAACAGATTGAGGTTGAATCCTGACAAGACAGAAGTACTGTTCTTGGGGGACAGGGGGAGGGTGGGTGTGGAGAACTCCCTGGTCCTGAATGGGGTAACTGTGCCCCTGAAGGACCAGGTGCGCAGCCTGGGAGTCATTTTGGACTCCCAGCTGTCCATGGAGGCGCAGGTCAATTCTGTGTCCAGGGCAACTGTCTACCAGATTCATTTGGTACGCAGACTGAGACCCTACCTGCCTGCAGACTGTCTCACCAGAATGGTGCATGCCCTGGTTATCTCCTGCTTGGACTACTGCAAAGAGCTCTATGTGGGGCTACCTTTGAAGGTGACTGCAATTAATTCAGAATGTGGCAGCTAGACTGGTGACTGGGAATGGCTGCTGAGACCATATAACACCAGTCCTGAATGACCTACATTGGCTCCCAGTACATTTCCGAGCACAATTCAAAGTGTTTGTGCTGACCTTTAAAGCCCTAAAGGGCCTCGGCCCAGTATACCTGCAGGAGTGTCTCCACCCCCATCATTCAGCCTGGACACTGAGGTCCAGCTCCGAGGGCCTTCTGGCGGTTCCCTCAAAGCAAGAAGTGAGGTTACAGGGAACCAGGCAGAGGGTCTTCTCGGTAGTGGCGCCCACCCTATGGAACACCCTCCCATCAGATGTCAAAGAAAAAAACAGCTACCAGACTTTTAGAAGACATCTGAAGGCAGCCCTGTTTAGGTAAGTTTTTAATGTTTAATGCTGTATCATGTTTTTAATACTCGGTTGGAAGCCGCCCAGAGTGGCTGGGGAAACCCAGCCAGATGGACAGGGTAATCATCATCACCATCATCACCATCATCGTCATCCAGTCTTCCCCAGCTTGGTGCCCCCCAAATGTTGAGTAATACAATTCCCATCAGCCTCAGCCACCACATGTTGGGTAGGACAGATGGGAATAGCAGGTCAAAACCTCTGAATGCTGCTCTCTACTATTAACAAGGCGTCTGACATGAAACTTTTTTGTGAAAGATAAAACAAAACTTCTAGGTTACCCATTGGGCCCCTTCATTTGTTGTGTTGCGTTTTATCTTTTACCTTCCAAAAGGAAAAGATAATAGAATCTAAAATCATAATTACAGAATTTATTGTTTGGAAACATGGCGGTTAACTCAACACAGACAATATCCTTCTGGGGATTACAACAAGGGACAGAAAGCATTGTTACGTTGCTGATCACATCATTTTCTGGAAAGAAGATAATGACGAGCCAAGTTGTTTCTGGAAAATCAACTTGGGTCTGTAATAATATTACATTTCCCTTCCCATTTTCCCCAAAGACAGCTCGTCTACCATGACAGCTGCCTTTCATTCTCTAGCTACCGACCTTTGAACAAAAACAAAACAAAAACAGAGTCACCTATGGAAGTAATTATAGTTACATATGCCTTCTTTTCTACTAATGTAGAATCATTAAATGAATCCTTTGAAAATGAAGCAACTCTCAGACAGAGGTCACTGAACAAATATGGAGAGGTTTTTGGAAAAGCAGCCAATTTGCGGTTACTATGACATCAGCACCTGGCACTGAAAGAAGGAAGGCTGACTTCTTTCTTTCAGCAAAAGCGTTGCAACACAGATTTTATCTTTGTCCATAGGGTGCAGCTGCTAATCTCAGAACAAAAGCTTTCCAAAGCTTAGAACTACTAGAGCTGGAAAAAATATCTTGGCTCCCAGACTGTTCGTAAGCCCTTTTTATTTAATGCATACACAGGTAAGATGCTGACAGATCCATACATTATATTCTAATCACATTAGACACATTTGACAGCATCCAAATATCTGAGAAACTCATTTCAAGAGAGCTTTTGACAGGTTTAGACAGCACCTTCCAACACCGCATGGTGAACAGCTTTTAGAACTGAGGGGAGAGTCAAAGCAGTTTGGAATATTGCGTAGGAAAAACAGTTCAAAGTTATGAGGACATTCTAACGGGGATTGCACAAACAGTTCTTTCGATTACTGATCTAAGTGTTTTTATTCATTCCACATTAATAGTTTCAAGAAATGAGAGTAGTATTGAATACTACTATTTGAGAGTGGAGTACTCCTATTCAGAAAATGCTGCAATGTGGAGTACTCTTATTCAGGGTCCCTGCAGCTATGCATTTTTACAGAATGCATCATTCCACACCGCCTCCTCACAAGTGTCAGTCAGCCTTCCTTGCCCACTGAGCATGCCCAATTTCTATTGGGCTGTTTATGGTTTGCCTCCCCCATTGGTCCCTCCCCCCTAAAGTTTTTTGGAGTTTTACAAATCCCAAACCTCCTGATACCCGCCTCTTGTATATGGACAGTGCCATTTTGGCTACCAAAGGATCCTCACTCAGTGAATGAATTAGATAAAAGTAAATAGGATTAAGTAAGGAATACGTCCTGTCCCATCTTCTTCAAAGCTATTTAAAGGCCCAAACAACTAATGATGGTGCCTGACCTGGGAGCCCCAATAATGTCTAGAGTAGAAGACATAATTTCAAGCGCCAAAGAGATTTGTGTGCCCCTTTCCTCTGCCTGCCATTTCCCCTTCCCGCTCTCACTTCCATACATCACTACTGGGAAAACCATGGCTTTAACTATATGGACCTTTGTCGGCAAGGTGATGTCTCTGCTTTTTAAGATGCTGTCTAGGTTTATCATTGCTTTTCTCCCAAGTGAGAGCTGGGCCATAAAGAAGGCTGATCGCCGAAGAATTGATGCTTTTGAATTATGGTGTTGGAGGAGACTCTTGAGAGTCCTATGGACTGCAAGAAGATCAAACCTCTCCATTCTTAAGGAAATCAGCCCTGAGGGCTCACTGGAAGGACAGATCATGAAGCTGAGGCTCCAATACTTTGGCCACCATGAGAAGAGAAAACTCCCTGGAAAAGACCCTGATGCTGGGAAAGACTGAGGGCACAAGGAGAAGGGGACAACAGAGGACGAGATGGTTGGACAGTGTTCTCGAAGCTACCAGCATGAGTTTGACCAAACTGTGGGAGGCAGTGGAAGACAGGAGTGCCTGGTGTGCTCTAGTCCCTGGGGTCACGAAGAGTCGGACACAACTAAACGACTAAACAACAACAACAGCCCCTTCTAGCTCTGTACTTTTCTCCCAAACTAGCTCAATTCCAGTGTCAGAGCCTAGTTGAAGGGATAAAAGACCTGTGAGGATAAGATAGGTGAGGGAGCAGAGGGTTTCACACCCCTGGCCTCACATCCCTTTGGAAGAGCAATATTTGAAGGCATTGGCTTATCATCGTCCTATTTAGTTTGGGTCTAAGAAATCACAATCAGGAATATCGGAAGCTTCCTTATACTGAGTCAGATCAATGGTTTATCAAGCTCAATACTGTCTACACGGACTGGCAGTGGCCCTCTAGGGTTTCCGACAGGGACCTTCCCAGTCCTTCCTGAAGGTGATTTGGACTGAACATGGGGCTTTCTTCATGCAAGGCCAACGCTCCACCACTTTAAGAGCCTACTAGATGAGCTATGGCCCTTCTGACACACCTTCTGCTTCTGCAAGGCCCAGCCTTATTTCTGACTAGTGTGAGGAGCCTCAAGCAGCAGATCTGAGAGGTAAATTAACTGGCAACAATTTGCAATTTATTTCATTAATATATATTTTTACCACCATGGGAAATTACATCAGGCTTTTCTGCCTCTGCCAGCAAAATGTCTTGGGTGATTTTTGTTTTCATCCAAAAGGTTTCTTGATATATTGGAGCAGATTACTGAGCTGTTGGCTTGCTTTTATGCTAAAAGAAGAACATTTTGCCCTTTAGGATTTGGTTGCAATATATCCCCTTGCTGATCTTCTCTTCCAACATTTATGCAGGCACACTCCTCCCGCAATCGCGACAACCAGAGCCACAGGAATGAGCGCCAAGTACCAAGACGTATCGCGTTCTATAAAAATAAAATAAAAGTTGGTGTCAAACTTTGCAAAGCCTAAATAAAAAAGTAGGGGTGTTATTTCATAAAGCCCACATATTTCAAATGGAGTATTGAATTCTCAGAAAGGTCATATGACATTTGAGGAAGAAAAATGGAAGAAACTCAGTTAAAATGTTTAACAGCATAAAAGAAGAGCAGCTCTGCTAGATCTGGGGAAATACCGTATTGGCCTGAATATAAGCCTCACTTTCCCCCCCAATTCAGAAGGGAGAGAGCAAGGAAGAGGAAAGGCCGCCAGCAACACAGTGCGGCTGCCCCACCGCCCCGCCCCCAGTATGCAGCCAGGAGCAGTGAGGAAGGGAGCGGCTTATATTCAGGTATTTTTTCTTTTTTTCTTCCCCCCCCCTCCAATTTTAAAGGTGCGGCTTATATTTGGGTGCAGCTTACATTCGGGCCAATACGGTATAATCTTGCCCAATATCCCATTTCCAAGAGACGCCAGCCATATTTGAAGAAAGTGGATAGGGAGTTCCTTGATCCCTCTTTCATAATACAGTGTACCTCGGGTTACGAACTTAATTTGTTCCAGAGGTCCGTTCTTAACCCAAAACTGTTCTTAACCTGAGGCGCGCTTTCGCTAATGGGGCCTCCTGCTGCTGCCGCGCTGCGGCTGCGCGATTTCCATTCTCATCCTGGGGCAAAGTTCGCAACCCAAGGTACTACTTCCGGGTTAGTGGAGTTTGTAACTCGTGGCATTTGTAACCCGAGGTACCGCTGTACCTCGTGGAACCACTCTCTCTTAGCCCAACAAACACGCTTATGCTGTCCGAGAATTGTTCCATGTAGCCAAATGCTGTCTACACTGACTGACAGCACCCCCCAGGCTTTCAAACAAGGGGTTAACCCTAGCCCTATCTTGAGTTGGAAGAATTAGATATTCTCTTTGCAGTTACCAACGCAGCCATGATGCACAATCAGGTTCTCAACCCTGGTAACATCTGGCAGAGCTGAACCATACATTAACAAGTAGGACAATAATAGTATTCGTACACAGACACATACCTTGTTGCTTTACTTGTGCTGCACGTATTTCATGCCCGAGACTATTATGGGCAACACATGTGAAGTCTGTATTGAAATCAGCTTCTTTCACAGGGTCAAAAATCAAGGGCACCTCAATGTAATTTTCATCATTTTCTACAAGTTCCCTAAAACAATGAAACAGTAATTTATAGTAACAGTAATTTTTTTCTTAATTGATAGCATTTCAAGAACACTGTAATTTGATTTTATTTTTTTTAGTCTAGCATTGTGTGGTGCGTGGGTGGCGAGGTGCATAACTATGGGCACAGCATTTTATAGCACATGGGAATACGTTCATTTCACTGCAACACCCTGATTTTGAATTCAAAATAGTAAGAAAAGTGGGTTTGACAGGATCTCAGTAGTGAACCATTGTAATGCAGTTGTTAGTGTGTCAGGGGACTTCCAGACTGCAACCAGGGTATTGGCATGCTCAAACTTTTGGGATTTCCCCCAGGAAGGAAAAAATCCAGATTCAATGGGAGGGAATATGGGCTGCCATTTTGATGCCAACAACATCATACGGACCCTGCAAAAAACTTGCATGCAGGAGGAGCACCAATCCCACAATAACCACCTGTCTGGAAGCACTTTCAGACTAAAACCAGGACAATGCAGATTCATATTCTCATTCAGCCACAAAGTATACTATGGTGACTGAATCTGATTGGAATGCGGTTTAAAGGTGAAAATATAATAAATGATGTAGAAAGGAAGCTGCAGCCCAAGATAGGGAAACAGGTATTAGGGACCTCATAGCTACTATAAATAAATTAAGATTTGCAGGGCCTGGTGAACTTCATCCAAGAGTACTAAAAGAACTCGCAGATACAGTCTCAGAGCCTCTGTCTATAATCGTTGAAAATTCTTGGCAAACAGATGAAGTCCCCATGGACTGGAGGCATTAAAAAGGAGGGGGAAGAGGAACCGGGAAATGACCGACTGGTCAGCTTGACATCGATACCAGGAATGGTTCTGGAACAGATAATTAAACAGTCCGTCTGTGAGCACTTAGAAAAGGATGTTGCGATTACGAAGAGCCAGCATGGGTTTCTCAAAAGCAAATTATGCCTGACTGATCGTATTTCTTTTTTTTTTATAGAGTTTCAGACTTGGTGGATCAGGGGAATGCTGGGGATGTAGCACATCTTGATTTCAGTAAGGCATTCGACAAAGTCCTCCATGATATTCTTGTGGAGAAGCTGGTGAGCTAAATGATGTTACAGTTAGGTGGCTAGCTGGAGGTGATGCCAAAGTGAAGTGTAAGTAAAAAGGTAAAGGGACCCCTGACCTTTAGGTCCAGTCGTGGCCGACTATGGGGTTGCGGCGCTCATCTCGCTTTATTGGCAGAGGGCGCCGGCGTACAACTTCCGGGTCATGTGGCCAGCATGACTAAGCCGCTTCTGGCGAACCAGAGCAGCGCACGGAAACGCCATTTACCTTCCTGCCGGAGCGGTACCTATTTATCTACTTGCACTTTGACGTGCTTTCGAACTGCTAGGTGGGCAGGAGCAGGGACCGAGCAACGGGAGCTCACCCCGTTCCGGGGATTCGAACTGCCGACCTTCTGATTGGCAAGTCCTAGGCTCTGTGGTTTAACCCCCAGCGCCACCTACGTCCCTTGAAGTGTAAGAGAACTACACAAAAATGGTCGGCCTCATATTGAATTGGGATGGGAGGAGACACAGAGACGCTTCCTTTTCATTGCTGAATCCAAAGCTATGGCAGGGCGGTAGTGGCTAGAAACCTAACAGAGGAGCAAGATTTGTTAATGCTGTGAGCCTTTTCATCTTGTGTGTATATATGTGTAAATAGAACCACATATCCCAAAGATACTGCTATCTCAAGTGACCTCCATTTTAAAGAAACTAAACCCAAGGTATGTGTTGGCACCTCTCACTGCTCAGAGATTGGGGTGAGCGTAATAATACTTACTGACGTTCTCCTTCTGTAACTCTGCCCTTTTGATAAAGCCTACCAATGTAAGTCTTGTTGGCTAGCCACCAAACCTCAGTATAAAAATGGCTGCTTTCTCCAGTAAGCACTTTGCATATCATTGTCAGTCGAGAACCTAGTTTTAAAAGGATACATGGAAGTAAGAACAAACAAATGTTGAGTACTATGTTGAGCAATAATGGATATCACCACTCCTTAATTCTTAAGTCTTCTGAAGAGCTCAATACATTCTTATTTCAGCTGACATTCAACGGCCAGGATTAAGTAGGTGTATTTTTGTTTTTATTGTATGCCCTTTGTTCTAATTGTTACCAAATCAGACTCCTTGGGAAAGGTATGTTAGAAACTGAACTAAATAAACCAATAAGTCTACCCAGAGAAGCAATTAGTCATTATTTATCATGTAAATAAATGTAAATGCTTTTAGTAAAACAGGTGGAAGAAGAAAATACAATTCTCACACCACTTCTTCTGGAGTCTGATTACCTGTGGACACTTAAAGTGTTGCAAATGTCTTGGTTCTTGGCCCACTTCCAATGCAAATATTGGGCATCCAGTTCAGCACTTGGCATACGCCAGTCAAATATTGTCGTTAAACACTGCATGGTGCCAGGAATGCCACAGTATAGACAGCAGCTTACAATTTTCATATATTTTTAAGATTTATATTCCACTTTTCATCACCAAGCAATTCAGGGTGGGTCACAACAAAAGAAATGTATCACCATTATAAGAGAACAAAGGAGGCACTCATGGTGAGTTCTAGCACCTCTTTTTTCTAGGAAAATAGCACTGAATGTCCTAATAAAAAGAATGCTTTAAAAATAGGTAAAAGGTAAAGGGACCCCTGACCATTAGGTCCAGTCGTGACCGACTCTGGGGTTGCGGTGGTCATCTCGCTCTATAGGCCGAGGGAGCCAGCGTTTGCCCGCAGATAGCTGGTCATGTGGCCAGCATGACTAAGCCGCTTCTGGCGAACCAGAGCAGCACATGGAAACGCCGTTTACCTTCCTGCCGGAGCGGTACCTATTTATCTACTTGCACTTTGACGTGCTTTCAAACTGCTAGGTGGGCAGGAGCAGGGACCGAGCAACAGGAGCTCACCCCCTCACGGGGATTCGAACCGCCGACCTTCTGATCAGCAAGTCCTAGGCTCTGTGGTTTAACCCATACTTGAGCATTATTTGGCGACATTTGACCAAGCCTTTTTTGACCAATCATCCAGCCTAGTAGGGGAACCAAGAAATAGGTGGATCAGCTCTAGAGCATTGCAATAAACAACTGCCACACTCCAGAGCTTTTATCATCAGCTAACAAGAATCTAATAGGATCAATAAAATGCAACCAACCCCAACAATCTCAAGGCAAAAGTGACAGATAATTGTCCTGGCTGAGTGAAATACCTCAGGCATCCCCCGGATGAGCAACAACAGCCCACAGAAGCAATATTTCCCAGAGATGCCTGAAGCCTCAAAATAAAAACACTTATTTAGTCAACATCCCAAAAAGAGGAGTTGGAAGAGATGCTGGTGGCAAGTGAGTTTTTGAGCAGAGTCTGAACAGCTTCTTACAGAATTAAAGCAATAAGAGTCAAGCTTGTTTAGCTGATGACCCTTTCTATTTATGCTAGCCAGCAACGTGCAGCTTAACCACATCCTTCTTGACTAAGGCAAACATTCCAATAGCCTAGAATAGCATGAGTCACTGTACTTGTTTGCACATGGAATATTTTATTGCTGCAGAGAAGTTTTTGGGTTTTTTAATGACATTTGCTGGATCTCATTCAAAAGCACAGTATCAGCCGGAGATGGCCCTGTCTTCACAGGGCATTAGGTACAAAATATCCTTCTCCCATGAAGGCACAATAAAAATATATGCTTTGTTTGAAAGGAAATCGCTTTCAAACTCGTGCAAATATTTAGCAATACCAATCACTTCCTCAACGCTTTTTTTTTGCAAATATGCCAAGTTAGTCTTGAGAACACAGTGAACCCTTTGATACATACCATCTGTACTTGTCCAAATGATTAGCAAGATGCAAGAAAATTACACATGTTGTTGTAAAATTGTCTGACTGGTGATACAATTTGTTTAAAATTAATACAAATTATTTTTAAAAAAGATGAAAAAACAGCCTAGATTTAGCAACAGTAGAGGCCAACCTAGAAACCTACTGCCTATCGATTGCAGAGGTCATGGTGACATCCTCATTTCCTTCTACATTTGAAGACTTGCTCACATAGAATCCATGGTAGCTCACTAGGCTAGGCACCCAGACCATGAGGTTCTTGGTTCAAATTACCCAGAGTCCCTGTAACTTGCATCAATTCTTCTTAGGACCCGGTATATGTGACCGCTTGTAGACAAGCACACATCTCAGATCAGGTTCTGGGCTCCATATCCCAGCCAGCTTTTGACCTCTAGGTTGCCACAATGTGTTATATACATGGGGCTGCCTCTGAAGATGGTTCAGAAACTTCAGGTGGTATAGAATTCAGCGGTTGCTTAACAGGGCAAGATGGTATGAGCATATAATGTCAATCCTGGCCTGACTGAACTGGCAGCCAGTTTTCAGGTCTGATTCAAAGTGCTATTTTTGACCTATGAAGCCTTAAACCGCTCAGGACTGCAATACTTCAAGGACCAAAGCGGCCTTTTCTGAGGTGGCCCCTTGCTTGTGCAACACTCTCCCCAGGGAGCCTTGACTGGTGCCTTCATTACATATCTTTAGGGTCCAGGCAAAAATATTCCTCTTCTCCCAAACCTTTGGCTAATTAAACAATATATAGCCTTTTAAAACTGTGCCGGGGCGGGGGGCGGACAGTATTGTTTTCTTTTTTAACAGTATGCATTTCAGTGTTGTTATATTGTAAACCACCCTGTGATCCTCAAATGAAGGGCAATATAGAAATTTAATAGAAATAAAAAGATTTTGGTAGGAGGTCTGGTGAAAACCTTTAGGTTAATAATGGGTGGGGGTGGCTTTTTCATTTCTTTCGCAAAACTGGTTTATCCAAAGAGCACACACATTCTTACATTTCCGGAATAGCTATTAAACAGAAGAAATAAGTGTTCCATATTGATGACTTTTCCCCAAACATACAGAACACTCTTTTCTGCACTACACCTATGTCATCTTTTTTTCTACTTCAAGTGTCGTGCATAGGTTCTCACAACGATATGGACCATATATTTGACACCATGGTAGAGGAACAAAGTGCCAAGACTTTTTTAAGTGTTGTCCAAAGAAGAAAGCAAGTGCAAGCAACAAAATGTCTTGAGAATTGTAGTTTGATGAGGGTGATCTGCTAAGAGCTCTAACACCTAGACCCCTACACCACCCCTAGACAGAACTTCAGTTTCGAAAGATCCCTGGATAAGGAGAATTAGAGCCAAAAACCTATTTTCCTGTATTCAAGTTGTACTTGTTCCATTTGTTTTAAAATACATGGAAGCCACAGGTGGTTGAGTGGTCACCATGTCCGGCCAGCTGTTTGTTCAATCAAAATCACACCAGCCTGGTTTCTGCCCAAATAACTGGCAAGGAAAAGGTTCAGCTCCTCCACTCCTTTCCTCAGTTTTGAAGACATGAAGGAACAAGGGGGGCAGGGGGGGAAATCATGACATGACACAATATGTGTAAGTTTGGTTTGGCCCTGTTCGCAAAAGGCTGACTTGTGGATACTCCTCAGGATGCAACAGACATTATTAATTCTGCCACAATTATAGCAAAGTCAGTAAAGCCACCATTAGCTGTTATTATGGTTGGAACTAATATAGTACTTAAACCCACTGGTAAGAAATTTAAAACTGAGTTATAATTCTTATTTTGTAACGTAATGGTACTTTGTTTTCAGAAACGACTTGAATAAATTGTTGGCCTTACCGAGACCTGCTAATGTAATCTTTTCATTTGGGTAGACAATCACAGGTCGGCTTCTCTTCTTTTGGGCTAGTGAGAGTTCAGAGAAAAGATGTTGCAGAGAATTACATCCGCTTTTCTGATACAGCAATAGTTTCCATTATTTACCAGGATAAAGAAGTAACCTCTCTCAAAAGAATAAGGCACGGCTGAAATGTAACTGTTATCACCAGAATGAACATCGACCAGAATTCCAGTGCATTCAGAGATCTTGTCTCTCTCTCTCTTTCCTCTCTCTTTGCTCTGTGAAATTTTCAGAGGTTCTCAGCTTCTTTAAAATGAATTGAAATGGGGGAAGAATGTGCAGTTCTTACATTGATCTGAAAACACATTAAGCATACTACCACCCCCTGCTGGTCAGCCTGTGTACTGACTAACAGGTAATTTAACATATATATCTATATTTATTTAACAGAGCAGCAGACAAAGAAACCTGTACAAATTTAAAAATAAAAAGGGGAAAGTGAGATAGGTGTATTTGTCTACCCTTTCCCACTATTAGTTAAATATTGCATTCCCCGAGCTAATGGAAATCACCTCCCAGGGCTCTCTTTTGGCATAAATTACTCGGTTTTGCAAGCGGAGGCATTTAAGCCACAAGCATTCTACCTCCCACAAAGGCTGTGAATTCCTCACACTTCCACTGGCCACTAGCCAGCGATCTTAGTTCTCTTCTGAAACGATTTCAAGCTCTTATCGGAAGCAAATAGCTGGAATGTTGTGCTGGATAAGCTCGGGGCTTTAGCAATTGGCAGTTGCAATGATGAGAAAGAGTAGGAGTCTTTTCTTTCGCTGCCAAAATACATCCTAGGAAAGCTGTTTTAGAGTCAGGACGTGCATATCCCGTGCATCTGCAGTTGGGCAACTTTTCTGACCCTGAGGGAGACATTCTTTTGACCTCAACAGAAGAGTGTTTTGGGCTGTGACGATACATGGGGAGAAGAGGGTTACCCTCTTCCTTCCCATTGGTGACCCCATACAATAAAATTCAGCCCCACACAGGAGATTCAAAAATACAGTGGTACCTCAGGTTACAGACGCTTCAGGTTACAGACTCCGCTAACCCAGAAATAGCACCTCGGGTTAAGAACTTTGCTTCAGGATGAGAACAGAAATCGCGTGGCGGCGGCGGCGCGGCGGCAGCGAGAGGCCCCATTAGCTAAAGTGGTACCTCAGGTTAAGAACAGTTTCAGGTTAAGAACAGACCTCCAGAACGAATTAAGTTCTTAACCTGAGGTACCACTGTAGCCTTCTTTTAGTGACAACAGAGAACTGTTTTCAAGTCTCAATAACTCCCTGTGGAGCGGTAAGGGTCTAGATGGGGAGGCCCCATGGCTCGCATCTGGTCCATGGGGCATAAGTTCTCCACCTCTGGTCTAAACTGACCGGCAATGGCTCTCCAGGTTTGCAGTCTTTTCCTGCCTTGCATAGAAATGCCACAGATTAACCTTTCGTTTGCATAGCTTGTGTTCTGAGCAATGACTCCTTGCTACGCATATTTCAACAATCTGCACATTTGTATAATTGATCCATGTGGAAAATTCAAAGTTTACTTCATGCCAAATTTGTTTTTTTTTAAGCAAAGGAAAGTGGATCATCTGTATGTACAGTCCTGCTCATCATTGCGTACTTTAGTAGTTCAAGAGTAAACATTACCCAGTGTTTCTAACTGAATGGTCCTGGTGATGTTATATTGTCCCGCTTCGTGCCGAAACGTCAGCTGACAAGTATAGTAGCCTGAATCATCCAAGGACACAGAGTTTATGATGAGATAATTTGTGCCCTTCAAAACAGCAAATTTTTTATTGTCAATGTCCAAAGGTGTTGAGTCCTAGAAACAAAAAAATAAAAGTACACAAATAAAATGGGCAGCGGAACATTTAGTGGCGAAATACAATGCTTCAGTGCCAAGAAGTCTTAAGGTGATTTTTTTCAGTGAATTCTTAATGTCACTGAGCTAGTTTAACATCCATTGATGCAGCAATGATGGCATTTGGGAAAGGCCATGAAACACTGGGAAGACTGCGGCAGGGGTCTGATTCCTGACAGATTCCAAAGCAGAAAAGTGCCTCAAATAAGCTTTTTATACACAATGTCCACATAAAGCTTAAATGCCACTGTTTATTACTGTGTTCATGAGCACAGAGGATCTTGCAGTAAGCACCAGACTCACACCTTTCCCCCTCCTTCTCCCCCCACAGAGTCGGAATAAGAGTTATTTTCATTTTCACGAATCCTGGTTTATTACATTCAAACCAAGGGCAGTGGTTTAAAACAAGCTCTGACCAGTTTCAAAACAGGCCAACTTAAAAAACAAACAAACCATGGATTATGAAGCTGGCTTCCTTAACTAAGCAGGGTTTGCAAGTGTGATGATTTGGTTTACACTTTGACTCTCTTCAGTTTCCGTGTGGTGCCAGGAAAGGAGAGAGCTCTTTGTTAAAGTCTTGCAATAAGCCACACGGTTACACAATAATGACTAACTGTTGTAGTGGCAGCGTAAGTGGAAAATTCCATATTGTATTGATCAACCAATGATAGATTAAATGAGGACAAGCCTCCGTTTCTGGTCCATATCACTTTCACATGTGTTCACCCAGAAAACTTTTCCATCCCATATGTGCATTAATGTTTTATTTATTTATTTATTAAAAATCTGAACAAAAATCAACATTTAAGTGCTTGTTCTCAACTGCATTTTCTCTTAAAACATGCATTTCATTTTCTCTCCAGATATGTATCTTTAAACATGTTCTGATAATTTATATTGAATCGAAAATTATGTCAACAGCACCTGGAGAAGTGTGAGATCTGACGGGCATGTTCTGATCCATACATTAGTCAGTCCAGGAATTGCAGATTAGGTCAGTTTATATCAGAATGAGCAATGATCAAATTCCTCAGGCGAACCTGATCAAAATAGTTCTCCATCACAAAGTTAACTTGGCACGATTCCAGAAGAACTTTGTAAAATGATATTGTGATACTGGGTTTCACTTTCCATTATTGGCCAGACACTATTATCACTAAATAAAAACTCATGGTCTAGTCAGTTGCTGACAGACCTGGTTTCTGGTGAAAGGGCTATAAACTACAGATAAATTTAGCAGGGCTCTGCAGGATTTCAGAACTACTGCCCTCCAGTTACCAAGTCATTAGTGTCAAAATTAAATGTGCACCATGCACATTCATAATTCAATAAAATTTACACGTGAAAAATGGTTAGTTTAGAATTTGGACAGAGTGGATGGCTTTAATCAAGAAAAAAGGAGGAAATTAGTTTTGGTGAACTAAACTAAGTGCTGGGCAGTTCCAAAAAAACAAAATAGCCTCAGGCTTTGGCCTCACCTTAGTATGGTTCTCTTGCACCAGAACTAATGTTGTATCTAGTCTAGCACTCTGAGTCTAACATGCTTCTGGACATAACCAAGGCACAATGGCAACAACCTTTTCTTTTGGCATCAGTATCTGATGTTCAGGGCTATGCTAAGGTTACCAGATTTTTTTCAATGAATCCAGGGACACTTTTCAACTTCAGCAGGAATGATAGGATTTTGTATGGGGAATGATTTGTAAATCCGGGGACTGTCCCCTGGAAACAGGGACATCTGGTAACCTTAGGCTATGCTGCCTCTAAACATAAAGAACATTTGGGGGGGGGTTGGGGGGGAGCTCATGATGGACCTCTTCTTTGCGAAAACAGCTTGTCATCTTAAATGCAAATATTCTACAAACAAAGCAACCTAATGAAACTTTCAGGCTATTGTATCAAAGCTTTAACTCAAGAGCACATCTGCAGGCCACCATAATCTAAGGTCTTTTTTCAACGCTACAGCTGATTAATCTGATCCTAGGCTAAGGATGGTTAATTTATGTCCCTTGAGATGTGGTTGAACTACAGCTCCCATAATCCTGGACCCCTGGTCATGCCAGCTGCAGATGGTGGAAATCTAGCAACACCTGGAGGACCATAGCAGCCCCATCCCTGGCCTTAGCAGAGTTGGCCACAATTACACTAAGATGGCAATTCAAATGAATGGGCTTAGGCATGTCATAACCCAGCATAGGACCCTGTGCAATTTCTACCATGTTGTCAGCGTCTTATATTATTCTGCCTTTCGTTCTGAGTGCAATGCAGATGATAGTCCCCTGTGGGTTTGGATACTGGAAGTCCAAGTTCAAACTGCCATGAAGAAATTACCCATAATAATACCTTGTACCATTTGAGTTCGTAGTTTGTATTCTTTTGTACAAAACTCTCCAAGGCGGGACAGACAACCTTTCCAGGACTAAATGTGAAAGCCTTCTGGAGATAGGAAATATTTCGAACAGCGCTTTTCTCCACAACTGTGAGATGAACAGACACATCAGCACAGTAAGAAGAATTCCTGCAGGCGGAGGGCAAATGGGCACGGGGAGAGAAGAAGAAACACGACATTCATACACAACAAGGGAAGATTTATCATTGCACCATAACCCACCACTGCTTTTTATTATTCAGATTTAACCATTTTGAACAATTAAGTACACACAGGACACTAAAATCACCGCCCTCTGAAAAAGCATCATTGGTTGGCAACTTGATTCTTCAGACAATACAAAATACTCTAGCTGAGGGACCTCAACAGAACCACACACAGACACCCTGTTGATTTCAGAGCACACTGAACACAAGTGCCAATATGGTTGGATTGGATTGGATTGGCTTCCCGACAGGAGGAACAAATTGTACTGAGCTTATTTCTGCTTTGTTGTGGTGTGTGTGTGTGCGCGCTAAGCTGCAGAAGGACAAATATCAGTAGATACATCTCATTCAAATGTATTTTTAGACAATTAGAAAGTATTTTATAGACATATTTTGGTAAATCTATTAAGATTTTAGTATACCTGGCAATATCAAAATAGGTTTGGGGCATCAAGTTATTTGCCTAGAGCAGGGGTCGGCAAGGGCTACCTTGCCTGGGCCAGTTCACTCCAGCAGAGATCCCTCCGTGGGCCAGATCCCATGCTCACCCATGATTTCCTGCGCAGACATGATTTTCAGTGCCACAAAAGTGAGTCCCCACTCTGCACTGCGCCGGTTTAGCGCAGCACATTGGGACTCTCTGAGCAGCCGGCTCAGTTCAGAGGCAGCTTGTGGGCTGGTTAAATGACCCTCGTGGGCCGATTGTTGCCCTTGGGCCTTAGGTTGCTGACCCCTGGTCTAGAAGCTCTGTGGGCCTCAGCCGACAGTTCTGTCTTTTAAGCTGAGTAGCTGTCAGTCAGGAAGTCTCCCTGAGCTTGTGCAGCAGCCGCTATAAATTGAGAAAATTGTTTGGGAAGGAAGGACAAAGCACTGCTAGCCTTGAGGAAAGAGCGGGTGGGGGAGAGGTCTGTCTTGTGATGTTTCTCTAACCTGAGAGACAACTAACAATAAGCCATTACAGTGGTACCTCAGGTTACATATGCTTCAGGTTACATACGCTTCAAGTTACAGACTCCGCTAACCCAGAAATACCTCAGGTTAAGAACTTTGCTTCAGGATAAGAACAGAAATCGTGCTCCGGCGGCGCGCCAGCAGCAGGAGGCCCCATCAGCTAAAGTGGTGCTTCAGGTTAAGAACAGTTTCAGGTTAAGAACAGACCTCTGAAACAAATTAAGTACTTAACCTGAGGTACCACTGTACAGTAACAAGTTAGCGGAACCAGGACTGAAGGACTGAGCAAGAAGACACTCACAGACAGAAGAGATCCTTAGCTGCTGGAGACTGTTTGTTGTTGTTGTTTAAAGTTCCTTGCTCATGAGGAGAAGCACAAGCCAAGGTTTGTATCTGAGACTGTACAGGGATACTGTGTGGAAATGAATTACTGATCAAAGAGAGGACTGGTGGGAATCATCGGGAATGGAAAGAAAGCTTTGTGACGCAGTTACAAATGGAGATTCTTGAAGACAGGCCTGCCCACAGGAGGACGAGGGGGAGGAGGACCATGGTCATCAGAATGTGAATTTGACCTGGCAGGGCCCCCTGAGATACAGATTGGCAGGCCTGTGGAAATCAACGGACAGACTGTGGGAATGTTCTTGACGGAGGTGTGGAAATGGCATCTGTCCTTTATGTGATATGGTTCTTGGAGAGTGTAAAATCCACACAGGATATGTTTGTTTTCAACCCACTTGTGAAGATTATCAGAGATCACAAAGAAAGGAATATATGATAACAACAAGAAGATGAGGAAAATAACAAAGAGACTATCTGGACAGAACTGGACAGACCTGTGTAATTAAAGCAGCAGCAAGAGTGATGTTTGGATCCCTTTCGGAGCTCGAAGTATGGGTACCCCCAACAAAATTTTAAAAATTTGGCTGTATAATTTGGAACTAATGTGATTTGGAATTAATGTGATTTGATTGGCCAGTTAATAAAAATTATTTTTTTTAAAAAAGAGAGAGACTGTACAGGGATGTTGTAGGCAGGAACCGGCTTCATTTCCACCCCCTTTTTTACTCAGATGAGTGTCCTGTACGTCTAACTCGACAAACACACAAACAATAATATCATATGGCAGTAGTTTTCAACCGGGGTGCCATGGCACCCTGGGGAGCCTTGAATGATGGTCAGGGGTGCTGCGGGCAACTCTGGCCTCTGTCCCCCTTTCCTGCCTCCCCTCCCTATTCTGATGCCCTCTCGCATCTTCCTCTCAAAGGCTTGTGTGGCTGTTTGTTGCAGCAGCCAAGGCAATAAGCTCCACCTGGGAATGTTGCCTCTGGGGGGCAGCTCTCTTTGGGGCAGGGAGGGCAGCTCAAAGACCAGCAGCAGCTGCCCAGGGGACTCCCAAGGAGAGGGGAGAGGAGGCTGAGGGAACACTCCACAAGGGAGGGTGTTTGAAAAAAGGGTGAGGGGCTGCCAGCTCTGCAGGCAAGGGGTGACATAACTGGGCTCCTGAGCCCACAGGGGTGCCACAGAAAGAATGTACAGTGGTACCTTGGGTTACATACGCTTCAGGTTACAGACTCCACTAACCCAGAAATATTACCTCGGGTTAAGAACTTTGCTTCAGGATGAGAACAGAAATCACAAAGTGGCGGCAGGAGGCCCCATTAGCTAAAGTGGTACCTCAGGTTAAGAACAGTTTCAGGTTAAGAAAGGACCTCCAGAACGAATTAAGTTCTTAACCAGAGGTACCACTGTAGTTGGTCAAGGGATCCGTGGACTCAAAAAGGCTGAAAACCTCTGCCATATGATGTCAGGACTCAGGAGCTGTCCTGCTTCCTCTTGTGAGCTAAACAGCCAGAACTGAAAATCTGCCTTATTGACTTCAGTATAAAAGGAATCAATAAAGCCATCAGCTGACTTGCGTTTAAATGACAATCTTGGTGAAAATAGGAGAAGCCCAGCTGTTTGAGAGGTACTGATATTGGCAGCACAAGTTTGATCAGGCTGCAGCAATAGACAGATAACCTTCAGAATGATCCAGTGGCCCTTTCACCGGTGTAAGTGTCACAGAGATAGGATTCACATCAATGCAAGGCCCATTGGGTTGCCCTTTAGATGCTGTATAATAGACATGACCTATGACTCCTATGGAGAAACTGCCACGGATACTGGGGACTCAGCTATGCAGCTGCAAATATAATGCTTTAAGTGTGTTTTAAGTGCATTATACAAATGTGGCACTAGATGGCAATGGTGAGCTTATGGCAAATTCAATATATATTTTCAAAACTTTTTTTTAAAGAATTTTCACAGCATTTTATATCTGTGTGTCTAGATTCCACCAGGGTGTAAGCAATGCACACTTTGCGTTCCTTTGATTTGTTTGTTGTTTTGTTTTGTGTGGAGTGTCTGATGAGGAATATATGCAGTTGGAAAAATCTGCTTAAAAAAACTAATAAACAGTCCTGTAATGCAAAGCCACCATTGAATACAGCTCAGGGTGTGTGTTGTTTTTTAAAAGCTAGATTAAACATTTAAAATATTTTATCTGAGGCAGAAGAGAAGCCAAGGTCACCAACTGCAGAGAGTATGGAATTTGTTCCCTGATGGGGGCCCTTCTTTGGTGTAATGTTTGAAATAGCCCCAGGTTTGTACATTGTCTAAAAGATCCAGCTATATTGATGTGTTATATACAATTCAAGCTGATTTCTGATGTATTTTAATTCTTTCTCTTTTTTTAAGTAATTGTATGGTTGATTTTATGCTGTTCATCACCATATATTTTTTCTTAATATTGGTGGTATAGAAACTTCTGAAAATAAGTTAGTTTGCACATAGATTTTCTGTCCTTAGAAGCCCTGACAAAATTGTTGTTTCCTGTTCCTTGAGCAAAAGCTGTAACTATTAAACCAGCCTACATTTGTGATAGACCACAGAGCCTAGGACTTGCTGATCAGAAGGTCGGCGGTATAAATCCCCGCGACGGGGTGAGCTCCTGTTGCTCAGTCCCTGCTCCTGCCAACCTAGCAGTTCGAAAGCATGTCAAAGTGCAAGTAGATAAATAGGTACAGCTCTGGTGGGAAGGTAAATGGCGTTTCCGTGCACTGCTCTGGTTTGCCAGAAGTAGCTTAGTCATGCTGGCCACATGACCCGGAAGCTATACGCCGGCTCCCTCAGCCAATAAAGCGAAATGAGCGCTGCAACCCCAGAGTCGGTCATGACTGGACCTAATGGTCAGGGGTCCCTTTACCTTTACCTTTACATTTGTGATAAAGGCAAGTCCTTTGCAACCTGAGGACTGGGCTGAAAAAGGTGTATGTTATTCTGCTCATGATTACTTGGCAAGGAACTGACTTGGATTTTTCATTTGGACATAATATCTTCCAGATGAATTTGCTTGTGGGATTAATATAGAGGCATTATAATGGAAATGACATTATGAAAGAAAACGACATGAGCCGCTGACTTTTTCACCGAAAAAATCATTTACATATCCTCTGCAATAAGTGACCTCTTTCTGCACGTATGCCAGTCCCCCTGAGGTTTACACTGGAAGTCTTGCATACTTTTCATTGCACATGTCTCTTTCCACTCAGTGGAGTAACTTCTGGTATCAAGTACATTGCAACGCCACAGGACACTGAGCACATCTGTGTTTCTCTACTGAGCAACCTTGGGACACTTTTCTGTCTGTGCGAGACTGCTAAAATATTGCACAGCGGTAGTGTAAGAGCTGTTTCGTCACTATCAGGCTCAACAGCGTCAGTATCACTCTCAGCAGAAATTATCGGGGGGGGATCAAAGTGCCACACGCATAGGTAAAGGTAAAAAAAGGTAAAGGACCCCAGTCAAAGACGACTGTGGGGTTGCGGTGCTCATCTCACTTTCTGGCTGAGAGAGCCAGCATTTGTCCACAGACAGCTTTCCGGGCCATGTGGCCAGCATGACTGAACTGCTTCTGGTGCAACGGGACACTGTAATGAGTGCCAGAGCACACAGAAACACCTTTTACCTTCCCACCACAGCAGTACCTATTTATCTACTCGCACTGGTATGCTTTCAAACTGTAATAATAATAATAATAATAATTTATTTGTACCCCACCCATCTGGCTAGGTTTCCCCAGCCACTCTGGGCAGCTTCCAACAAAGACCAAAAATACACTAAAATGTCACACATTAAAAACTTCCCTGAATAGGGCTGCCTTCAGATGTCTTCTGAATGTCAGGTAGTTGTTTATCTCTTTGCTAAGTTGGCAGGAGCTGGGACAGAGCAACAGGAGCTCACTCCATCGCGGGGATTTGAACCGCCGACCTTTTGGTCGGCAAGCCCAAGAGGCTCAGTGGTTTAGACCACAGCGCCACCCGCATCCCTCGTAGTGCCAGACATACACAGAGTTCAAGACATCCCCTTGCGGGAGAAACATGACTGTCCTCCTCACTCCACACATGAAACAAGGGTGCCAAAGAAAGGAAGCGTAAGTCACTTCCACATTCTATGACTGCCATTTAAAAATAATAATAATAATGTCCAGAGCTGAGGAGCCATATCTTCTTGTGGCTAGGCTTCACATTGTATTGGTGATGGATGTAACATGTCGTTTCTTCTCTTGCAAGGGCTGCACTTCCCTCAGGAACAATAATGCCTGAGTTGGAAGTAGCCACATGATCCAATGCAGCTAAACATTATTATAATGCAACAGTGACTTTGGGGGAGTTGGTTTTCCTGTGACAGTCACACCAAGCTTCAGTTATAGGATCTGAGCCTTGTTCTTAGAAATGAAAGAATAGCTATACTGAAGTGTGCCAACTCCTGGGGACAGAGGGGTCTTTGGCCCCTTTAATATTTGCTGGCAGGGGATCAGGTCCCCTTAATGTTGAGGGGGTAGAGGAGGCCTTGCACAGCACAGTTCAATGGCTGGCTCCTCCTGAGCGCGAGAGAGGAAGCTGTTCCATGTTGGGCTCCCTGCTTGGCCTCCCCCTGAAGATGCGAGTCGCACATATGACATGTATGCACGCCACATGCCACACACACCAATATTGGGTACAATATGGTACCTTTGGTACACTGAAGTTATGTGGATGAAGATGGCCTCAGATATGTTGCAGCAAAAAAAATAATCCAATGCATTTAGTCTCTGCTCTAAAGAACACTTACTTCTCAATGTATATTACCTGCTCCAACACTTGATAAACAGTACCCCAGATCTGTCTTGTAAATCCATTGCCAGTAAGTCTTCAGTGATGCATGAATATGCATGTTATCTGGTTAACCCTATGTAGCCTAGGCTAACAGTCTTGTGCCTTAGAATGCCTACCTTCGAGTACAGATATACTCCCCAGAATCCTCACTGGAAGCTGGCAAAAACCAAAGAGCATCATCTTGTAAGAGTATTCTTGTTTTTCTGTATCCTGCAGGGATAATTGTTGCTGAACCATTTTTCCCCCAGGTGAGATTCAAGGGCTGATCAAAAGCATCCATATGTTTGTATCTCAAAGGAGGGCATTTGAGGACCACTGGTTCTCCCGCCAGTACAAAAGTGGACCTGAAATGCACGGTGCGATCGTGGCAATTATCTACATAAAAAAAGAAGAATGACTTTGTGTTAAAAAGAAGAAGAAAGAAACACTGGAATGTTCTAAACCAGGATTTGGCCATTGATGGTTACTGCTTTCACCTGCACTTCCCGTACGCTGGATTCTGAAGGCAGAAGTATCCAATGTATTGGCAATGAAAATACATAAGAGCCTGGGCACCATATTCCGTAGAAAACAGGAAAGAGAAAGATGGATGACACCTTGGAACCTGCAAATGAGAAGAAGAGTGTCATAACAACAGAAGTATTCTAAACGAGATGGTGACTAAACTACTTTTTTAAGAACAAACTGTTAAGGCATGATAAAAGCCCGCCAGAAATATCTCTTCAACGGCCTGACAGCCTTGTCTCTAGAGCTCCTGGGCTTAAAACTGGGACTGGCATTGCTCCAGACTCTTATGAAAACATGGATTGGATTCCCTTTACATAGTGGTGGCCAACCTTCTTAACAACTCAAGCCCGGAGTACAAAACAGTGTCTCTGTTGTGGACAGTGAAGTGCATATGCTGTACTGCTCCATCACAAGTGCTTGGAGTAACTTTGCTTCTCGTCTATTGAACTTGGGAGCAGATAGTCTAGTACTGGACTGGAAAACTTCAGACTGGATTATGGCATAGATGAACTCATGGGACCCTCCTGTTCCATCCTAAAGTACCACAGTCTCTGGCTGCCTGTGGCAGGTTTGCCAGGCATGTTCAATCAATCAAAATGTTTATTCGGCTTTACGCCCATCATAAAGCACAACACACAAAACAAATCAAATAAAACAGCGGTCTCGTACAAGCCACAAGTAATATAACACAATTCACAGCTCACAAGGACAAATATTGGCAAATCAAAACAGAAATTTAAGATTAAAGTTAAAAATTTAGGCACTACGCTAAAATCAATATCTGATGTCAATATCAAAAATTCTTATAACTATCAATAATCAGCTAACATTCCATTCCGTCTCTTGTACGAGAGAACGGCTGTTAGGAATTTAGCAACCTGTAGAGTAATATAAGGATCTGCATCTTGAAGAACCCAGGCAAGCTGTAGGTCTACTGGTTTGTCAGCCATAGGCTGGATTATGGAGTTTAGTATACTAGCGCGAGCTGAACTGTACATAGGGCAGATAAACATAACATGATGTAAAGATTCAGATGTTTTCATTTCACAAGCACACATTGAAGGGACTTGGCCCTTAGTGAATCTATGTCTCAGCACGTTTGTTGGAAAAACATTGAACCTGGCTCTAATGAAGGCATATCGGTGAGATGCGGCTATAAGCGATGTTAAGTAGGACGGAGCACGATAGATAGGGGTTATGCCGAGATTTAACGGGGAGCAGGCTCCACCACCAGCTAAGAAATTTTGGTATAGCTCCACATCATCCAGCCTTTGATTTATACACCTTTTTGCCGCGTTTAGATCCAGTTTGAGCAATTCCGTGGGCGAGATCTCATAGGACAGCAATTTGGCATGGATTTTTCCTGACCACAAATTTGTGAAGTCATCCCGCCACATGCATTGAATGAGATAATGGTTCGGTAGTTTATGCCATAGGGATATCCAATAAATCAAAACTCTCCTCCATAAAACTAACTCCACTGAGGGGATCTTCATTTCTAAGCGAATAGCCGCATTACTTACGCATGTTGGTAGTTTTAGAAGTCGGCGTAAGAATTGGCTTTGAAGCGACTCTAAAGGTGAGAGGTTTGCAAAAGCAGCCCATAAAGGTGCAGCATAGGCCATTGTGGCCATCACTTTAATGCTATACACTTTCAAGGCCGCAGGGATGAAGAAGGCCCCTCAGAGTAGAAAAACGGAGGAGGGAGTGTGATAGGGCTTTTGTCTTGTTTTGAAGATATTCAACGTGCGCTTTCCACCCTAGATTATATTGAAAATAAATTCCTAAATATTTAAATTTGTGTACTTGTTCGATTTTCGTGCCCTCCAATTTCCATGAATATAATTTTCGACTCCTTGAAAATATCAGTACTTTGGACTTGGTGTGGTTGATAGACAGATGATTAGAACGGCAATATGATGCAAAAATCTTTAGTGCCCTCCTTAAACCCACTCTGGAGTAAGAGAGTAGTACCGCATCATCTGCGTAGAGAAGTAAAGGACAACGATAATCTGCTATACGGGGGGTGTGGATAAATTTTTGTGAGTCGATTAATGGGTTCCTCATATCACTGATAAATAAGTTAAAAAGAAGAGGCGCTAAAATACAACCCTGGCGTACACCCTTATTTACTGGCACTGGGTTAGTTAGGTCTCCAGCAGGGGATATTCTTACCCTGGCCACGGATCCGGCATGAAGTTGGGAGATAAGCCACAGGAGCCTTCTATCTATTCCCCAGCAGGCAAGTTTATCCCATAGTAATTGCCTCGGAATACTATCAAACGCAGCTTTCAAATCTATGAAGGCTGCGCAAAGTTGGCCCCGTCGAGGTGTCGAGTATTTCCGGGCTAAGTGATAAAGAATAATTGCCTGATCTGTTGTGGATCGATTTAATCTAAATCCGGCTTGCTCATGCCCAATCAGGTCAGCCTCAGCTGACCACTTCATCAGCCTTGCCAGCAAAAACGGGCATATATTTTCCCAATGGACGATAGCAGACTGATATTCCGGTAATTCCCTGGGTCACCGGGAGGGCCTTTTTTGTAGATAGGAATTATAATGGCCTCCTTCCACGTACCTGGTATTAAGCCCGTGGCATTTATTGCGTCAAACGTTTTAGCTAAAATCCCTGCCCACCATGCAGAATGTAGCTTTATAGCCTCAACAGGGACCAAATCTGGCCCAGGGGCCTTACCAGTTTTCAGCTCAGCTATCAATTCTAGGATTTCAGCAGGGTCGGTATTGTGCCAGACGGGAAGGGGATTAGAAGGTCTCCAGTGAGTGGCCGGAGCTTCTGCCACTGAGAAATATTTTCTCAGGAACTGCTCCCATGTAGGGGCCGGGATCACCGTTAAGGGGTATTTCGTGTTTCTTCCCTTAATTAAGGACCAAAATTTCCGGGAGTTATGAGATTTTGAGGCAGAAATTATAGTCTGCCAGCGATTTAAATGCCATTCCCGTTTGGCCGATTTCTGGGCCTGTTTGTATGCTTTTTAGCCAGGGAATAAGATGGAGGTAAGGCCAGAGCGCCGGAAAGTTTATAGTCATTATATATTGTATGTAGATGGAGTCTGGCTAGTTTACAAGCAGAGTTGAACCAAGGGGCGCCAAATTTAAAATAATCGTTTTTAACTCCATAGCTTGGAGAAGTAAAGCGAGTTAAAACTTCTATCAGGCAAGAGAAATTCATACAGGTAATAGGATCACGCGGGACTATTCCTACGTCCGGCTGATCACCAAGAAACTTTTCTCGGATAAAATCCGTATATCTATGGGCGAGGGCAGGGGACCATCTAATCCCCTTTATTTTAGTGGACGGCTCCGCAATCACCGGGATTGGGTGGGAGCGCTCGAGCAGGTGCCAGTCAACACATAACTTGGTTGTCAGGGGAAGATGGTCACTAAATTGGGCATTATCAATTTTAAAAGAGGTGACATTCAAAAATAGATCCCGGGAAACCAATACATAGTCAAGAACACTGTTTGATTTTAACCCCAGATGGGTGAACTCTCCTGGTATATCTGGAGGACACCTGCCATTTAATATAATTAAATTAAGGCGTAAAGCCATCTGGTAAAGCATCACTCCCGCCTTATTGACTTTTACATCCTTTGATATTCTAGTGGGGATATATACTAGATCGTAGGTTTGAGCGCCGGGGTCGACCCACCATTTAGACTTTATAAGAGCCTCCCGATTTGAGGCTATCCGAGCGTTAAAATCGCCTCCGGTAATGGAGGGGACATTAGGATATTTAAGATAACAAGAAAGTAAAAATCCTCTAGGGATTCCCATCTAGAAATAAGATCAGCTGCTAATCCTCCCGGGGAAATAGACATTTGTAACCAATAAAGAGAAGTTTCCACCAGAGATCAGTCCGGTAATAGCATAAGGCGGAAATGCGTGCACTAGTGAAAGTTTAGCCCGAAGTTTAAGGGAGATACCAATTGTAAGGCCACCTTTAGGGCGGCCACCATTCGTTGACGGGCTAGCAGGCAGACATATAAACTCAAAGCCATTTAACTCAATTTCCTCCTCCACCCAAGTTTCTTGTAATAGTATGATAAATAAGGAATTAATATATTTTTGGAATTCTGGATCTGATTTTTACTTTTCCATCCAGCAATGTTCCAACTTAATATTGAAGGCTGGGGTTTCCTCGTTCCTCCAATTGACTGTCATTCGGAAGGTTGGCTCAACTTTAATACGGGAAGAGGGGAGCCAATAAAAAAATCAGTTATCTTCCTCTGATGAAAAACCTCTCGTAAAAGCTGAGTGGGAGGATTTACAAGGTTGTCTGTCTGTTGAACTTGGCCACTCGATCTACTAGGAGTAGGACCTTGAGCAGGGGCGGCCCCCTTTCCAAAAGAGTTTGGTGGGCCACCCGGTGTGGTCCATCTATCTCGTCAGAAGTTTGGGCTCTCTGTGGTCTGCTACTGGTCTTTTGGGCTACTTGATTTATGTGGCCTGTTGGATCTTCAATCAGTTCCGTCACAGGTCTTGCTGTTGAATCCATAGTACTCCGCAAAGAGGAATAAGGCTGGGCGAGTGGGCTATTTGGGAAGATTAGCAAAGGCACCTCTTCTCTTGATTGGTCAGTGCTATAAGAAGGTTCCAGGTCTGGCATCGATGAATGTGTAGAAGGGGATTTTTCCTGTTGTGTGCTGCTTTCTTCAGGTATGTTTATCAAGGGACGGTCATGTAAATCTATTAAGAGCACGGAGGGTTGTTCTGGTTGGAGGGAAGGACTGGTAGTTGCTTCTTGGGGTTGTATCTTATCCTCCATTACCGACATACATTTAGCATTAGATATTGCGATATCCATATGAACTGGTTCTTCTAGGATGTCATGCTCGCTGTACATAGGTATTCTGGTGCTGAGCTTCCTGATAAGTTGGGTTTTAAGCGATTCGAGTCTATTAATAATTTCTTTTTGTTCCACCGCTGGTAAATCTGCAAAGGAGGCAATGAGTTCGATCTCTTCTGGTGGTGTCAGGCCACTTTCCGGATGGTCATTGTTCTTTGGTAGGGGGAGTGGAGGCCACATGAC